GGATGGGAGGGGAGGGGAGGGGATGGGATGGGAGGGGAGGGGAGGGGATGGGATGGGATGAAGAGGACATTTCCCTTTGGAATGGGATGGGATGAAGAGGACATTTCCCTGTGGAATGGGATGAAGAGGACATTTCCCTTTGGAATGGGCTGGAATGGGATGGAGGGGATGGGATGGGATGGGATGGGATGGGATGAAGAGGACGGGATGGGATGGGATGAAGAGGACGGGATGGGATGGGATGAAGAGGACATTTCCCTTTGGGATGGGATGGGATGGAATGGGTTGGGCTGGGATGGGATGAAGAGGACTTTTCCCTTTGGAATGGGGTGGGATGGGATGGGAGGACATTTCCCTTTGGAATGGGATGGGATGAGATGGGATGGGATGGGATGGAGGGGAGGGGAGAGGATGGGATGGGATGAAGAGGACATTTCCCTTCGGAATGGGATGGGATGAAGAAGACATTTTCCTGTGGAATGGGCTGGGCTGGGCTGAAGAGGCCCTTTCCCCCCTGTCCCACCTGGACCCTCCGGAGCCAGCGTCGGATGCGTCGCGGGGGGTTCCTGAAGTGCTCGGCCGCGGCCTCGGTGTCGGAGCAGAGGGCAAAGAGCACAACCCGCAGCTTCTTCACCGACAGCTGCTCCTTCCTGCTGCCCTCCGCCTCCCTCGGGGGCTGCTCGGCCTCCTCTGCCCCCGGGACAACGGGATTCTCCTCCTCCTGCCGCTCCAGGGGCGCCGCCGGGGCGGGATCGGGATCGGGATCGGGATCGACGTCTCGGGAAGGAGCCGCGGGCTGGGACGGGACGGGAGCGGCTCTGCTGGGAGAACTGGGAGGGCTGGGGGGCTGCGGGCTCGGGGCCTGGCCCTGGAGGTGCCTGGGAGGGAGGAAAGACAAGGAATTCCTGGAAAATCCGGGAAATATTGGGTGGGAAAGGGGAAAAACGCGACCCCGAGTGACCAAAACTCGGCCTCGATCGACCCCGGGAGGGTGAAAATGGGAGAGTTTGCAAAGGGTTTACCTGGAATGTGAGATCCAAGGGGGGCCTGGAAGGGAAACACAAACGTTTGTAGCAAATAAAACAATGAAACAGTGGAAATAAATATGAAATGGGTGGAAATAAACGCGAAATGGGTGCAAATAAACATTAAATAGGTGCAAATAAACACGAAATGGGTGCAAATTAACACTGAATTGGTGCCAATAAGCACGAAATGGGTGCAAATAAACACTGAATTGGCGCAAATAAACACTGAATTGGTGCAAATAAACACTAAATCGGTGCAATTAACAAATTCGGTGTTTTCTCAGGGTTTGTTCAGGGTTTACTCAGGGTTTTTTCAGGGTTTGTTCAGGGTTTGTTCAGGGTTTATTCAGGTTTTTTTCAGGATTTTTTCAGGGTTTATTTGGGGTTTTTTCAGGATTTTTTCAGGGTTTATTTGGGGTTTTTTCAGGGTTTATTCAAGATTTTTTCAGGGTTTATTCAGGTTTTTTTCAGGGTTTTTTTCAGGATTTTTTCAGGGTTTATTCAGGGTTTTTTCAGGGTTTTTTTCAGGGTTTTTTTCAGGATTTTTTCAGGGTTTATTCAGGATTTTTTCAGGGTTTTTTTCAGGATTTGTTCAGGGTTTATTCAGGATTTTTTCAGGGTTTATTCAGGTTTTTTTCAGGGTTTTTTTCAGGATTTTTTCAGGGTTTATTCAGGATTTTTTCAGGGTTTGTTCAGGATTTTTTCAGGGTTTGTTCAAGGTTTATTCGGTGTTTTTTCAGGGTTTTTTCAGGGTTTTTTTCTGCTCTGAGGAGCACAGGGACTGTCTGGACCCCTTGGCATTATCCATCCATGGGAAGATCCCAAAGATCCCAAAGCTCCAGGCAGAGCCAGGGGTTTCAAACTGCTCATCTCCATCACAATAAAGGCTCATTCAGGTCCCATCAAAACCCAGACAAAGGTTTTTTTGACCCTCCCCGAGCTGTGAATTGAGGGATTATTTTCCTGCACTCATCCTTTATTTTATTTGTTTTTGTTTTCCCCAAGTTTTTCTCGCCTTTTCTTCGAGTTCTCACCTTGGAGGATGATGTTGCTGAACTCGTGGGAGGGATTAAAGACGAGGTGCTTGGCCATGGAATCCCCCTCCGAGGTGACAAAGAGGCAGGAGGAGCAGGAGAGCTTCACCCCACTGGGGGAAAATAGGGGAAAAAGGGGGAAAAAAGGGGGGGAAGAGAAATAAAAATACAGCATTATAAAAAAGAGAAATGAAAATACAGCCATAATAAAAAAGAGAAATGAAAATACACAATTATAAAAAAGAGAAATAAAAATACACCCATAATAAAAAAGAGAAATTAAAATATAGCATTATAAAAAAGAGAAATGAAAATACACCATTATAAAAAAGAGAAATGAAAATACAGCCATAATAAAAAAGAGAAATAAAAATACAGCATTATAAAGAGAAATGAAAATACACCGTTATAAAAAGGAGAAATAAAAATACACCCATAATAAAAAAGAGAAATTAAAATATAGCATTATAAAAAGGAGAAATAAAAATACACCATTATAAAAAAGAGAAATGAAAATACACCGTTATAAAAAAGAGAAAAAAAAATACACCATTATAATAAAGAGAAATAAAAATATGCCATTATAAAAAATAGAAATAAAAATACACCATAATAAAAAAGAAAAATAAAAATATACCATTATAAAAAATAGAAATAAAAATACACCATAATAAAGAGAAATAAAAATACAGCCATAAAAATACAGCCATGTTCTCATTAATAATTAGAATTAAACGTGTCACCCCCCAAATATAAAATAGACATCCCGAAAAATGACCCCCCTCTGGAATACAACGGGATCCCAACATTCACCCCCTGAAGCCATAAATCAATTTATTTTCCTGGGTGGTAAAAAATAAAAAATTAAAACAAAATAACCAACAGCTCCTTCCAGGTGCTGGAGACGAGGAAGGGACTGAGATTCCCAGGGGATTAAAGGAGATGGAATTAAACTTAAAAAGGAGATGGAATTAAATTTAAAACCCCCCCAGCCCTGCATTACCAGGCAGTGTAGTTCTTAAATAAAGCCAAGTATTTGGGGCTCTTCCGAGGGACGTGGTTGCTGCAAGACAAAAAAGAAAAAAGAGTTTACAAAAGGCACAATTGCTCCGGACAAGGACAAAAAAAGGAGTTTACAAAAGTCACAATTGCTCTGGATAAACAGCTGTAAAACCCCCTCAAACCCACATTAACAAGCCCAACCCCTGGTTTAATAACATTTTATCTGCTTGTCTTGTATCCCATTGTGAGAAAAATTATTTTATTTCTCATACCATGATTTTAAACCCGGGTTTAAGTGACAAAAACCGGCACCAAATTGTATCAAAATGCCCGGATTTAGCAATAATTTTCGTGGGATTTTTGGGAATTGTGGACTTCTTTTCCTCTTTAAAAAGCTGAGTGACTCCCTGAGCACCACAGGGAGGTGGAATTGCCCCCAAATCCCTGTTTTTTTCCCGTTTTTTCCCCCCTCACTTGATCATGTGGTTGGCGTAGGCCCGGGAGCAGCAGGTGCTGTAGCGACACAGGGAGCAGTGAACGTAGGTCGGGAAGTGGTTTGGGAAATCTGGGATCTCAAAGCTGCATTCCAGGCACGTCTGTCTGCCCAGGACGCTCCTGCAGGAGGGGAGGGAGAGATTTGTTAGGCTTGGAATTCTGTGATATGTGGAATTATGGATGTTGTTGGGATAAAAGTGGATTTTAAGGACACGGAAACTCCACGAATTCCTCAGTGCTGCTGTTTCCCACTCCCCATAAATCATCTGGAAGTGGGTAATAAATGGGAAAATGGCAAAAAATAATAATCCTGAGGACGAGGCAGCAGCACCTGGGGGGGCTAAAGGAGAGGGACTTTGTACAAGGGGTGGAGTGACAGGACAAGGGGGACGAGTTCAGACTGAAATAGGGAAATTTAGGGTGGATATGGGGAAGAAATCCTTCCCTGGGAGGGTGGGGAGGCCCTGGCACAGGTTATTCCATGGATTTTTCAGCCCTGGAAGTGTCCAAGGCCAGGCTGGACATGGAGCAGGTCTGGTGGATGATCTTTAAGTCCCTTCCCACCCAAACCATTCGGGGTGGGCAGGAATCCCTCCCCTGTTGGAATTCCACTGTCAGCTCATTATTCTGGATTTCAGCTTCACCTCAAGGGCTTTCCCAGCACAATCCTGGTTCTGTGGGAAGCCAAACTCATGGAATAAACCCCCCCTTGGCACTGGATCAGGTGTCTCCCACCCCCTTGGCACCAAAACAACCCGCGGCCGTTCCTCCGAAACTCTCCGAAACGGAGAATTCGGCCCCAAAAAAGGACCTCTCACATTTTTTTCACGGCTCTCTTCTGGACGTTCCTCTGGACAGGAGGGTACAGGAAGATGGGCTGGGGGTCTGAGGAGGAGGACAGAGGAGCTGTGTCCTGCCCCAGGCCCTGGGACATGTCGTTGGAAGAGACCGGCAACGTCCGCGGTTGTCCCCTGGACGCCCTGATTGTCACCTGCAGGGACACCAAAAAAAGGGCAGGAATGAGCTGGGAATGGTCAACCTGGAGACCTCAGAGCACCTTCCAGGACCTGAAGGGGCTGCAGGGAAGGTGGAGAGGGATGTTCATCAGGAAACGGGGTGACAGGACAAGGGGGGTGGGTTCAGAGTGACAGAGGGGAAATTTAGGGTGGATATCGGGATGAAATCCTTCCCTGGGAGGGTGGGGAGGCACTTGGGAGGTTATTCCATGGATGCTCTTCCCCTGGAAGTGTCCAAGGGCAGGTTGGAGCAGCCTGGGCCAGTGGAAGGTGTCCCTGCTCATGGTCTGGATGATCCTTCAGGTCCCTTCCCCACCAAAATCATTCTGGGAATTCCCTGCAGCCAAATTCCTCTGATCTGGATGATCTTTCAGGTCCCTTTCCCACCCAAAAACCACTCTGGGATTCTCCTGTAGCC